CTACGTAGGATTTCACCGTAATGTTTCATAAATCTTACAAACTCGTAAACTCGCGTAGTTTTACAATGTAATACTCCAAAATATTACGAAAATTGTAAATCTACGGAATATATCGCCGCATTTAAGTTCTAAATGTCCTCTTTTTTTATTTCTCGATCCTATTTATTTTGTTTCTTTTTTTTATTTCTCGATCCTGCCTATTTTATCTTTCTCCTTTTTTTATTTCTATCGTGATAGCTTTGACTGCTTCTATTGTAACTCCATTTGAATGGACCGTTAACGCTGCAAGAGAATTAATTTGTTTAAGACACGATAATCATGATAATTTTGAGTTCATTCCAAACAATTGTCATGAAAAGATATAGAGAATTATATCTAATCGATTGTTTATTAATAGAGGGTTCGCTGCTTTTCCCTCTCAATGTCGAAGAAAATGATACTCATTAAAATATAGATACAAAAATCTCAAGAGGTTGGAAGCTGGAAAGGATCCTCACGATCAACTAATAATAAACCTAACTCTGCATAATCAGATATTTTATGCAGAGTTAGGTGACGAATTTTAGCTTCAATTTAATAATTATTTATTGAATAATAGTAATAAGAAATATTTTTTTTACTTTTTAAAACTTCAATTTTTTAATTTATTTATTATTTTTTATTATTTTTAGACGTAAATCATCATCGATATAGAAAACAGAATGTAGATCACCACCGGTATCAGTACTGATATAGATCTCATTCTCGCTAAGATCATAGATCCCATTCTCATAATCATTCTCAGGATCATAGATCCTATTTTCGTCATCGTCATTTACAGGATCATAGATCACGTTCTTGCTGTTATTCAAGGGATCATAGATTCCATTTCTGAAGATACAGAAGGAGGTCATATTCTTCACGAAGGAGAAGTTTTTCGCTGAGAAGGCATTAATTTTTTATTTTTTATTTTTTTATTTATTTTTTTAATTTAATTTTTATTATTTATTTTATTTTTATTTTTATTATTATTTTATTTTTTGATTTTAATTTTTTTTTTATATATATTATTTTTTTTCTATTTTATAATAAATTTTTTTTTATATATATTATTTTTTTTATTTTATAATAAATTTTTTTTTAAAAAAAAAAATTGTAATAGCGTTGC